ACAAGCAACGATGGAAACACAGCAAGAAGATTTTTTGTTAATCCTCAAATTACTGCTCAAATAACGGGTGTTGATGAAGAACTCGTTAGAAGATTTGGAGTGATTCTTCAGGCTATCTCATGTGGAGAGTTTGTGGACGTGGAAAAATTCCGCCAATATTGTGCTGCTACAGCACGCAAATATGTCGAGCTCTATGAATGGTATTATATGCCCTCAAGCGTGCATAAATTACTCATTCATGGTGCCGATATAATAGAGCACAATAACTTTATACCAATCGGCAAGCTCTCTGAAGAGGCCTCTGAAGCTCGTAACAAAGATTTTAAAAACTTCAGAACTTTCCACTCGCGTAAATCTAGCAGGATTGCAACAAATGAAGATATTATCAATAATTTGTTAATATCGTCTGACCCATACCTATCAAGTTTCAGGCCTAAAATATGTCAACGAAATAAACCTCTCACAAATGAAGCTAAATCATTATTATTAACTTCTTGTGAAGATAAGGAAAATATAGAGTTTGTAGATGTAGGTAATGTATCTGATTATGACTTTGATTAGTATGTGTTCTTTCCCTCAAATCAAATTATATCAAACTTTGTATTTTAATTTTTTTGTATCTTTGTATCATATTAATATTAACAGTTTACGTATTTAAGAACTGTTGTAGCCAATTTGAGTTCTACTAATCTTATTTTATAGATATTAACGGGATTGTTACCATGTACCTTGTTTTTTATGAGTCTCCGATATTTCGGCACTATCACGGAGTTACTCCGTGATCATGGCGCTTGCAACAGTGCCGAAATATCGGAGACTCATAAAAAACAAGGTACATGGTAACAATCCCGTTAATATCTATAATGTTAGTGACCATGAAAGTTTAAAACAATTCTACTAATCTTTTATACTTTAGATTGTATGTGTGTAGTAATTTATACAGTTGTGGCTTCCTTATTATGCATTATTTAATTTATGATATCAAGCTTAGTTACTAATTTAAGTTTTGTAAATAAAAATATTGATGTTAATAATTTTGTTTTATTCATAATGTAAATAGTTTATTTTCTCGTTTGGCAGTAACATATCAGAATCTCCCTTACTACATTTACTAATATTAATAACCAGCTAGTTTATCTGGAAAAACACTTTGTTCATTTTAAGCTTAGTCAGTTAAAGTTCTAGGGATCCCAAAATAAACATATTTGATCAAACCCTTTCTTAGATAGACATTGTAAGTGTAAGTATGTTTGTTTGACAAAATTAATTATTATAGGCAAACAACGGCAGGTAATGACTGTGGGTAACCCTTTGAATTCCTCAAAACCTGCAACAATAGAGTTTGTATTGTTTATATGTAATGATGCTCTCGTTAATGGCGCGCGGCTTTTAAGCGATTGTCAAACAAAATATTAAATTGTAGGCTGTAAAGGACTTCATTGTAATTCTTTACAATATTGTATTCTTGTTTTCTTTTTCTTAAAACTATTTCTTTTATCTATTTATATTAATTCCATATCTTTTGAATAAGGACGCTTTTATTTAAAGTTAAGTTGTATGGTGGCATTATCTACTGTGTAGTTTTATTAGATAATAATCTGTGTTATATTAATAACTAAATGCTGGGCAAGAAACATAAACAAACTGTTTATTGAGACACATAACCCCGTAAAGCAAAATTACCCTAATAAGCATTTTGAAAAATTCGTATCTTTTGAACGGGGCCGTCCGGGGTGAAGGTCAAAGGTCACATGGCTTCGTAACAGACCCGGTAATAATCCCTATAAGTTTCAGCTTGACCGTAGAAGACCGATACAAGTTATGAGCAAAACAAATTCCGTTTTCATACATTTGAAACTCTAAAGCCCGTGCTTTATGGTGTTAGATTAAAAGGAAATTCCCCAAACTATTTTATTATTCAATGTACTGATATGTCCAATAAAACCGCATACCTTAAACGGATAATAAACATTTTTATTTTTTCAAAAATCCTATGAAAGGGGACCTCTTTTTTTCACCCACTGTGCGTCGTCTGCTAAGCGCCTAACAGGCAAAGATACCAATTTAATTTCCCTAACTTTACCACCAAATGCAAGAAAAATACATCATAGACTTAATCAAACAAAACAGAATTACACAATTGAATTTAAATAAAATAATCTTACAAACTTTTTTGCACATTGAAAGTAATCACTACTGATCATTCTTAAGTAAGCTATAATGATTAGTATAATACAAGATTCCAGATGTTGTACCTAAGTATTTTAATGAAGATCGTTAAAGAGAAATACATTTTTTTTTTATCACTGATTAATAGTTTATCCAGGTTTAGCACATAGGTTTAGCACATAGGAAGAAAGGAGAATGTGAAATAGTTGTTATTTTTGAAAGAAATAATGAAACAAGGTTAGAGGAGTACCCAAAGTCTATTGCATTAACACCAATACGATTACTTATTTCAGCAGATTTCTAAAAATATCAATCCGTGATAGGTAGGTTACTTTTATCTACAATATTTATCAATCCGTGATGGGTAGGTTACTTTTGATTCTGCAACAAGGTGGATTTTGGTGGGCAAGTTCGTAGATATCATATTTAATACTTTTCTTCTTTTTTATTTTTGCACCGCCAAAAATGAAACCCTATGGATGCCCCCTACAATCATTTTTTTCATTCGGCTTGGTTCCTTAATTGGAATTCAATTCAATTATTTGGTGTTTAAACATAATAAATAAAACAAACATTGATTGACTGTCACTGAAAAAATTAAATGACTGACATTTCTTTGTGTTTTTAATATCTTACTGGCTCTGCTCCCATTCATTTAATCCAATTATTTGAGAACTTTAAATGTAATTATCTTTTTACTCCCATGTTGAGTGATTATCTTAATTGTTTCTTAAAATATTCTAACAAATCTGAACCTTTTTCAAAACCCTACGCGTCCTCTAAATTATTTTATAGGCGGTACCAAAACACCTCAGTTTTCTGCCAATCTCCTTTGAAGAATTTTAGAGTACATCAAAATTATCTCGGGCGCAAAAGGAAGACAAGGACCTGCAACTGATAATGAATGGGAAAAGTGAACGACGGAAACCATCATGGAGTTACATAACAGCTTCAAGCCCTATCACTAAGGCATACTGGGCTCAATGGGGCAGTCTTTTGTCACAAAAAAAAAATTGCTGTATGGGAAATGGGAGTCACTGAATGGTAAGGATCAGACTCTGCAAATGGTGGCCCCAATGTGTAAAGTAGCTCAGGTATTAAGACGGTACGTCTGGAAGACACCTGGTATCCTAGGGAAGGAAAAAGATCTTAGTGAAAAACGCTTCTATTGGACACGCTGTCGAGGAGACATCCAGGACTGGTGTAGGAAATGTAATACATATGCTTCAGTTAAAATGCCTCGCACTACATCAAAGTGGAAGATGCAGCATTACCAGGCCAGCGCTCCGTGGAAAAGAATTGCCATCGACGTCGCTGGGCCTTTTCCGCAAACAAAAGATAGAAACGGTTAGGTATATTGTGGTGGTACAAGACTATTTCACAAAATGGTCAGATTTCTTTACCACACCAAGCAGGAAACTCATGCCGTAGTCAAGAGGCTTGTTGAGGAAGTAATGTCCCGATTCTGCATTCCGTTAGAATTACACAGTGACCGAAGAAGAGATTTTGAGCCAACTTTATTCCAGGAGATGTGCAATTTACTCGGCACATCCGCAATCCGTCCCCATGGTAGAGATTTTCACTGCCGTCGATCGATGTACTCGCGAGCCAATGTACCTTAATACTAAAGCCGTGTTGCCGTATATGAGCCTAAGCAGTGCGGCGTAAGGGTGAAAGTGCAATAATATCCACTAACTTATTTACACCAATGCGTGTACCTACGTATATCTCTCTCTCTCTCTCTATTCTTTGAAATGCCTCGATTGGTGTGCTAATTTCAGGAATGACCAGTATTTCAAGAAATACGATTTAAGTATGTACACACAGATTAAAATTATTTCACACTGAAATTACTCGCCGCGTCGCTGCCGGCCGCTACCATTCCGGTGTGAATATTAAACATTTAACACAACAAGAACAAAAGAGCGATTCACACTGACACCGGAATGGGAGCGGCCGGCACCGGAATGGTAGCGGCCGGCACCGGAATGGTAGCGGCCGGCACTGGCATGGTAGCGGCCGGCACTGGCATGGTAGCGGCCGGCACAGGCATGGTAGCGGCCGGCACCGGAATGGTAGCAGCCGGCAGCAACGCGGTGAGAAATTTCAGTTCACTTGAAAATAGATCAACAAACAAACGTTAATATTGCCCCAGATATAAAACTTATAAAACAAAAATTAATAATGTAAGCAATTATGTAAAGGTTTTGGAAAGTGAATTTCAGGAAAAGAACCACATATTTATAAAATGTAGCTACCAACAAATTTTTAAGAAACACTCAGTGGGGGAGTCCGATTCGATCTTGTCTGGTTTTTCAACTTTAATCATTATCATGTCAGCCGTCCGACGCCCACTGCTCAACTTTAATATTAATAAATAAGTCTTCCTTGGAACAGTTAGTGGGTATAATGAATTCAAGCATTTGTACTCCAGTCATGGATGTATAATATGTATTTTTTTCTATATAAATATATATATCAGTATATGTATTCTATCCATTACCCTACAAACCCAGAACAAAAACCTACAGTGCTCACTTTGGAGCTAGGCTACTTAATATGAGTGTTGGAAATACTTATTATTTATTATATTTTAAGCATTTACTTTTGAGCCAGTGGGTGACCTTTGAAATACAATAGTTCAAGTTGTCAATAGCTGCCTGTTAAGTGATAATTCTCTAACTTATCATAAGGTAATGCTTAAACTATTCAACTAGTTTTATTTAGCAACCAAAGATATCTCTGTTCTCACATACCCAAGTTATTGTAAGCTCTTACTTAATAATGTTTTAAGAGCCTAATAAAACTGGAATACTTAATAACTGACTGACCTGGCCAAGTTTGCTTCGTGAAGCTTCTTTGTTGTAACCAAATACATAAACCCTTGGAGGGGTGGTTCAGGTATCCAGTTACACTAACTCCATAATTCCTGATGCCAAACAAGCAGATGGCACTTCTATCCATTTCCAGCAGACTTTCATGACAAAATGGTGTACTTACTTCAAAACACTGAAAACATTGCAAAACATTGATATATCTGCAGTAAAATTTTAACACCTTCAAACCAGAGGTATATTTAAAATCTGGTGGCCCAGACCATTTACGATATTCCATCAACAATTTATTGCATTCAAGAATATACAGTCAGGTCATAAGTATTGCCACACAGTAAAAACTTTTCTTTTAGAATGCTGGCCACAAAAAAGTTTATTGAATTTGAATTTCAAATTGTTCATGAAAATAAATATGTATACTTTTTTGACATTCTGAAAAATTTTAATATAACCAAAAGATTTGTTTATCATACCATTAAACGATACAATGAAGACTCTAGTGTAGATGACAGGTCAAGAAGTGGTCGCCCTTGGTCTGTTAGGACTCCAGCAGTGATAAAAGCTGTGAAGGAAAATTCAAAGAAATCCCAAACGTAAGCAGAAACTTTTGGCCCTTCAGATGGGGTTAAGCAGAACCACAGTGAAAAGGGTGTTAAATGAAGACTTAGGGCTTCGGGCATATTGAAGAAAAACAGGATATCGTTTGAATGCTCGTCTAATGGACCTGAGGCTGAAGAGATGCCGCTCTTTGTTGAAGCGGCACGCGGGAAAAAAATATCGGGAAATTCTTTTTTCGGATGAAAAAATTTTTACTGTAGAAGAGAGCTACAACAAACAAAATGATAAGGTGTACACACACAGTAGTGAAGAAGCGAGCAACCGTATTCTGCGTGTCCAAAGAGGTCATTTTCCATCCTCGCTCATGGTATGGTTGGTAGTTTCTTATTGGGGCTTAACAGAGGTACACTTTTGTGGGAAAGGTGTAAAAACGAATGGAGTTGTATATCAAAATACAGTCCTGACAAACCTTGTGGAACCTGTTTCTTATACCATGTTCAATAACAGGCACTGGGTATTCCTACAAGATTCGGCGCCAGCTCATAGAGCGAAGAGCACACAAAACTGGCTGGCGGCGCGTGAAATCGACTTCATCCGGCAAGAAGACTGGCCCTCCTCCAGTCCAGATTTGAGTGCATTAGATTATAGATAGATATGGCAACACTTGGAGGAAAAGGTGTGCTCAAAGCCTCATCCCAATTTGGAGTCACTCAAGACATCCTTGATTAAGGCAGCCGCCGATATTGACATGGACCTTGTTTGTGCTGCGATAGACGACTGGCCGCTCAGATTGAAGGCTTGTATTCAAAATCACGGAGGTCATTTTGAATAAACTTTATTGTTATAAGAATCTATGTTTTGTTAAGTTCATTTTGGTATATAAATGGTCACATAATGAATAAACTTCTTTCAATTACTTTATATTAAACATGTGACAGAATTTATGACCTGACTAGGTAGTTATAACTGTAACAAAAGATTTTTTCCCTTACTTAACCTAAAAATTTTCTTCAATATCTTAATTTAAAAAAACTTGATTTATTTCTCTTCATACAAGGTTTTACTTATAAATGTGGTTTTATTGCAATACAGCAATAAGTTTAAAATAATAGTCTAATTAATAAACCCAAATTGCTGCCTACTAAAAAGAACTTGATAAAGCTGCATCCAATAGAATTTTATTTTATAAAATAAATATTACCTCATCACGCCAACCCTTAAGAGCACATATTTCTTCATCTTTTCTTAAAATTCCCAGTGCTTCTGCTACTTTTGTAGTTCTTTCTGTGTAGTCTCTAAATGCAGGATTCAATTCAACATATTTTTCTGCAATTCTGAACACCTGTAATTGAAGATGTATTTTGAACTGTAGCTTAGAATTATTATCTACCAAAAAGGGCATAGATCATGATTATATTACCTCAGGACATTTTTGAAGATATTTCATTACATTAGGTCTTATTAACCCCACTTGATGACCAGCAACAATAAATGGTTTGCAAGTACCTTGGTGCAAACCTAAAACGCGGAAATTTTAATTCAAATAAATCCAAAATTATCAGAAACTTAACAGTGTAGCTTTGAACATGCTCTTGCTTACCTGATAGATAAAAACAGTTGAATTTCCTAGCTAATTTTATAAGATCGGAAGCAGTGTTTTGTGGTATCGAATTCATATCTTTCATATTACTCCATACACGATATTGATATTTTAATATAATTTTTGAAATTGCTACGTTACTCGAGAAACAAATACAAAACTAATTAAGAAAACCTTCGGCCTTCGGGGTACACTTCACAAACAAGTTAATTAAACTGAACCAGAAGACACATTTGTTGCAGATATATGTTTTTATGAAATTCAACGCTGCACAAAAACGTAAAACTGAGGCAATTTAATTTTTTAACAAAATAAATATTTTCGTCATTTCCTTACGTCTCGAAATTGCGTTTTTTTTTTCAACCTGACCACAGAACCGAGATTATCGAGGTGGTATCAATTCAAGCATGATTATCGAAACCTATTTATTTTGACAACAGTGTATCCTTCTTGTCATGCTGTATCCAGAATGACTAATCTTGAATTTGTTTGAGTTTAGAGAATCATGCCAGAATCGACGCCTGTGTCTAAAGGCAGAAACATATTTAATATCGTGTCGTGGTCTGTCGTGACGCGCCAGAAGCACATCGGTTTTTTTTTTAATAATTTTATGGCTTGGATGCTGGTTTTTTAAGCCACATCTTCGTCTATTCATGATTCTTTATCTAAATGTTTATTATAGTGGCTTTCACATATTTGAATAATATAGGAAGATTCTTGGGATTTTTCAAGTAGTCTTCTAGGCGGCGGGAGACATTATTTACATTTTCACTTATTTCACAGAGTTCGCTTGCTAAAAAAAGCATTCAAATATCAAATGATTTATGTCACCAGTAGCAGTATTACAATACGTGCACGTGCACATACTATCAGTTAATATCTTCAGTTTTCCCAAATGAGCTGGTGTTTTGTAGTGGCTAAATCACAGGTGATTTATTGTTGTTAAGTATGAGTATACAATACAGTTGTCCAAAGCTGTAAATAATATTAGGAAAGTTAAACTGCTAGGCAACCGTTATTGTTATATATATATTATTATTTATAATGAGAAGCCATGCAAAGTCAAGATAAAGATAAATGGCTCAATGCTATGCTTTCTGAGATTACATCACTCTATGAAAATAATACTTGGGAATTAGTTCATTTACCCAAAGGAAGAAGAGCTTTACCTTGCAAGTGGCTCTACAAAGTTAAAATGAATCCCGATGGAACCGTAGAGAGTATTAAAAAAAATAAAAAATATTACTATAGAAAATAATTAGGTTTTTGGCGGGATTTCATCGAGTGTGGTTGGCGTCTTATTTTAATTATTCTTATATTCGTTCATAGTGGATATTGTGAAATAAAATTGGTGTGATTTTGTGTTACAGCTGTCTGCTTAACTAAAGAATTAGTAGAATCGTCAAAATATACGCTATTCCGGTCAAGTGGACGTGATAATTTTATTGTAGTATTGAAGCTTACTCACAGAAGCTTATCAAAAAAGCCAGCTCGATACATTTCGTGCCAAACACTTCAAGAAACATTAGAATGCGTCACACCGACATTGTAATGTAAAAAGAAAAACAGAATAATTTAATTTAAAACTAGGCTGTATGGGCATTGTTTCCTTTGCCTTCCCTGAAAAGGGAGAACTTAACCAAAAAAAAATTAATTGCTAAAACAGAGTGCTAAAATTATTTTAGAAAAAAGGCGGGAAACGTTGAACTAGCGGGTGCAATTTTTGGCTTTGGTGATATAATTTAATTATTTAGTGTGTTTAAAGTGATCAGAATTGTATATTTATATAATTATACGTAATTTTGTAGTTATATATATCAATATTTATACACAAAAGAGTTTTGGTAAGTTTTTAATGAACGAACCCCCTGATGGGTCGCCGGGGGACGAAGGTCCCCCGGCGGGACATTATGTAACTGTTTCCAATGAGTCTGGTATGGAAACAGGTGGCTCAATACCTGGACGTAATTTAAAACGTAGGCGCTTACACGTATGCAAGCACTGCAACAAAAAGCGACGTAGAAAGCAAGGATCAGATCTAATAGCTGTTCTTGTTGTGAACTATCCCCAAAAAAGACTCCATCTAACGAAATTCAAAGTTTTGAAAAATCTCAAACCATTGTTAACATTTCCAATACTCAATTATCTTCTTCTGTTCTTCAGCCCGCAGTTACTCCTACGCCCATTGGTCGTACCCTGTATTCTTCAGATGATGTTTCTCCTTTTGTTGTACACGTTCACAAAATACAGAATGAACCAAACGATAATACTTCAATTCATCCTGTGACATTTGGAAATTTTCTTAAAAAGAATAAATTTGATAATATTGTGAATGGTAGTGTTAAACTTATTGGCCGTAATAAAGTCTCATTAGCTTTCACGATTCATTTGGCTGCAAATTCCTTCATTTGCAACAAAATTTTAGAATCTAACAAAATGAAGGCCTTTATCCCTACTTTTAATGTAACACGTATGGGCCTAGTACGTGGTGTACCTGTGGAATGGTCTCCTGAAGAGATAATTGAAAATATATCTGTTCCAATTGGTTGTGGCAAAATAATAAAAGTAAGGCGTATAAATTATAAAGTTTTACAAGAAAGCTCTGTAGTCTGGAAGCCAATTCAATCCATTATAGTCACTTTTGATGGCCAAATTCTCCCTAAACGAGTTTTTATGTGCTACAATGCATTGCCTGTAGATTTATATATTTACCCAACCATACAGTGTTATAACTGCTACCGCTTTGGCCATACGAAAACACAATGCAGATCCAAACCTCGATGTTTCAAGTGTGGTGGGAATCATGTGGGTGATTCTTGTGAAACAGAAGAATCTGATGCTTATTGCTGTTCATGTGAAGGATCACATTTTGCTATTAATAAATCTTGTGCAGAGTATCTCCGCCAGAAAGAAATTAAAGTCTACATGGCTAATAACTGTGTTTCATATGTTGAAGCGTCCAAGTCTTAAAC